AGGCCTGGAGTGAACCCATGGTCAGTTTCTCCGGCCTGCAGCCCAGGCATAGTCCTGCAGTGGTTGTGCCCATACTCAGGGGGCAGCCTGCCTGAGTGCCAAGTGTGGGACTGCCCTCAATAGCGTTTAACCTCGTGCCCCAGCTTCCTCTTCTGTGAAAGGGCAGTAGTGACAGTACCTATCCCACCGGGTTATGAAAATTAAGCAGAACAATGTGTATGCAGTGTCTGTAGCACTGCCGGGCATCAAGCACTGTGTAAACAGTATCTGTTATTCACAAAGGCATTTATGACAACAATCACTCTTCAAACAGCCCTCCAGCCAATGCTAGGCGCAAACCCCACGGTAACCGGGACAACTGTTGTTAGAGGTTGAGCTTCCTGGTAGGCCCCAGGTGCTACAAGAGCAGCCTTGGGGATATGAGCCTGAAACCATCGTGTTGGCTTCTGAAGACCCCAGATGGGCATGGTAGGGACGCGGAAGCGCTCAGACTCGCACAGCAGGTGGTCGCCCCGGTGCAGCGCGCAGTCGGCCCTCCGCTCCCCTGCACCCGGGCAAGCTGCGGGCGCCACCCACACCAGGCTCGGCAGACACCCGACAGAAAGGGTTTTCTGGCCAGGCAGCGTAGCGAACACTGTGGGGCCGCGGTGAAAAAGGGCTCCAAGGGGCCGCGCACGTCAGCATCAAGGAGAAACGGAGAGGAAGGCCCTAGCCGCCAGGGCCCTCGCAGCAGAAGCCCGGCCTGCTCAGAGGCCAGCGCGACACGCGCTGAGGGGGCAGGATCCGGAGGGCGCCGGCCGCCCCTCCGGCATCGCGGGGCCCAGGGTCCGCGGGGCGTCTGAGCTGAGGCGGCCCAATATACCCTTTATCCTTCCTCAGATTCCTTATGAAATCCGGGGCAGTCTGGGCGATTCCAGCCGTGTTCGCCCGCCGCCACCTCTAGCCCGCCAGCCACCCGGCAGCCACGCGCGCCCAGACTGGAGGGTGGCAGGGGCGCGGCGGGGCGTGGCTCGGACGTGGCGGGCCCGCTGGAGGGCGGGGCATGAGGGGGCGGGGACTGAGGGGGCGGGGCGGGGCCGCTGGAGGGCGGGGCCGGCGAGAGCACCAGCAGCCTCCTGGCTCAGCCGCAGCGCCGGCGGGGGCGCAGCCAGCGGGTGGCGGCGGCGGCGGCGGCGGCGCATTAAATAGCATCCGGAGCCGGCGCGGGCCAGGTAGTGGGCTGCAGTGACAGCCGGCGGCGGAGCGGCCAGGCCGCGGAGGAGGTGAGTGCGCCCGCCGTGCTGAGCCGCGTCTGCTCCAGCAGCGGTGCCCCGGCCCGGCAGAGGCGCGGGCTAAGGTTGCCCCGCAGGGTCGAGCCCGAGCAGCGGCCGCCGCGGAGGCGCGTGAGCCGCCTCAGGCTCTTGGGGCCGCGCCGCCTTTCCGGCCTCTTGCCCGCGGCCCCGCTTCCCTCGGCAGCCGGAGGCCTCCAGGGCGCCTGAGCCGCCGCGGCTTCCTGTGTTTGAGCTGCGGGAGGCGCGGGCGCGGTGCTGGTGCGCAGCGGGGGACGCGCGCGGTACCGACCGCTGTGTGTGCGGCAGCGGGGACCAGCGTGGCGGAGCAGCCGGACGCGGCGCTTCGGTCGGGAGGAGGGGGCCCCGCCCGGCTGCTGACAGTGCCCTCGGCCGCAGTCTCCACCTGCCCCAGAGGCCGGGCTCGCTGGCGCTCGGACCGCGCATGGGGCGGGACTGCATTGGCGCCCACTGAGATGCGGGATCCACGCCGCGCGCTGGCACGAGGGCCACTGGCAGCTCAGAGGCCGCTGCCAGAGGCAGACATTCTTGCGGTGTCTCCCGAGGAGTGCCCGTGGCCTCTGCGCTTGGCCGTGGGGTCATTGATTTAAGGAGCGCTGGCATTTTTTGAATTTGGGAAGCCAAGATGATGTCTGTCACCTGGCAGCGTAGATGGAGAGTGGCGGTAGATGACTTGAATGGACACGTGGATTCGAGTCTGGGGACAGGCGTTCCCCCAATCAGTCCGTGTGAGGGTGTGGAATTTCCCCCAACTCCGTCCAGTTTCAAGGTTATGGAACGTAATTAAGAGTGGCCGTTCTAAAAGCGTCCTCTAGTGTCCTGGCTAAGACTTTTAAGCTTCTTCGTGCAGGCATATCTGAAGTCCCGCGACTCTCACTGCTCTGCTTTTTATTATTTCTTGACCTTCGATTAGTGTTGAGAGAAACTGGTTAAATCTTGCAGTTTCTGCCACACATTTTACAACTTAACCTGTGATTATCCCAAAGAAAACAATGATTGGCTTCATACAAGCAAAAGAATCAACCCAAACCTTCTGGTTGATTCTGTTTTGGTTTTTTGTTTTTGTTTTTCAAGTGGACGAGGAAGGTTAGTTTGGCTAAAACGTAAAAGTTTTGAGTTGTAGGTCTGTTCTGGGTAGGCCTGAGAAGATGGAGCTTTTTAAGGAACCATTGCTTGCCATCAGATTGGAGCCAGACAGTGCAGTGTGATATAGTGGAAACAGGAGCAGTCTGGGGAGACTCACTTTCTTGTTCCGACTCAATTCGGGAAACACCTCCCTAATCTGAGACCCTCTCCTTATATTTGTGAACAAACTGCATTAGACTCAAATCTTTCACGAGCCAAAATTTTATGACTAGAAAAAGAAACTTGCTTTCAGCACAGCTCACACCTCTCCCCTTTAAAATAGCAAACATATTAAAGACTTCTGTTTTCTGAATTTACTGTAAACGGAATAATTTTTTTAAAACAATTACCCAGCCCAGGGTGGTGGCTCACGCCTATAATCCCAGCACTTTGGGAGGCCAAGGTGCGCGGATCACTGAGGTCAGGAGTTCGAGACCAGCCTGACCAACATGGTGAAACCCTGTCTCTACTAAAAATAAAAATAAATAGCCGGGCTTGGTGGCACGCACCTGTAGTTCCAGCTACTGGTGAGGCTGAGGCATGAGAATCGCTTGAACTCAGGAGGCAGAGGTTGTGATGAGCCAAAATTGAGCCATTGCACTCCAGCCTGGGCAACAGAGGGAAACTGTCTCAAAAAAAAAAAAAAAAAGACCGATTACCCTTCCCCCATAATTATAAGCATTTTGACATATTTCCTTCCTGTCTCTGTTGTTCCTATTTTGGCAGTATTTTTATTATTATTGCAGGCAGCCTGACTAAAAAGAAATCAGGGCTTTCAAGTTTTTGGCATTTGGGAGGTAGATACATGTGACCCATACCTGTAGGGAAAGGTATCTATTTATACCATGAGGTAGAGTTTTCATAGCCACCTCTAGTTTTCGGCGAAGTTTAGGCTAACTGAAAGTGTACCAGCATGCCGTGGTGTACGCGGAAAAGTGAACATAACTCAGATTATGTGATAATTTTCTCTTGTTGCCATTGTGTATAACCCAAGGCTTACTACAAGCTGAAATTACTTAACACATTGACATTAAGCCTTTGATGTAAAATGACCGTCTCAGAGTTGCTGTGGCAAATGCTGGTAAACTGTCCCTGCCTTCTAGCGTGCTTAACGTCTAGGTCTTGCTACATCTTTTTTGATGTAACTGTTTTGTGGAAAATGGTTGTGTGTTTGGGGAGGCTTTTGAGAAAAGATCAGGTTGTCTTGTTATTATAGCTGGGTATTTCTCCTCCTCTCTTCCTTCCAGTTTCACTTTTCTGGAAAGAGCAAGACTATAGAATAGTGATTTCTACATATTTATAGTCAGTAATCTTAGAGGAATGTTTCAGTTTTAAGATCAATTGAATTTATTGTGTAAGTTTGCCATTTAAAATAGATGCCCATTATTCCTTTGTGTTTCCTGTCTCTTGGAACCAAGCTCTGTTAAATTAGAATCCATTAATAATGTTTTGTGGACAGTTTTGTTTAGATGATGCAATGCATGAGGCTCCTGTGTTACAAAATGGAGAAGAATTCCTTTAAGGCAGCTCAAAGCTGTTGGTATCTGAAAACCTTTAAAGCCTTTCTCTCTGACAGACAGTGGCAGACAGGAGGTAGATAGAGGACCAGAGTTTTTAGTGAAGGTTGGCAGTCCAACTTGGTAGTTAGACAAACACGTGACGGTCATGAAGTGCCTTTGACACTGGTGCCTGGAGAAGAGTTCTCAGTGACCAGAGCTGATCTGAAGCTGCAGGAAGCTGAGTTTGCGTTTCAACATGCTGTTACTTCAAGGGGCTTCTGAGAACTTGTAAAGGAGCAGCTGGCCTTTGTGAATAGAGAAGGCGGGGCAGTTTTACCAGGATTTGGGGCAGCAACTCTGAGATTGTCATTTTACATCAAATGCTGAATGTCAATGCATAAGAAATTTCAGTTGGTGGTCAGCCTTGGGTTATATATAACGGCAAGAAGAGAAAACTATCAGGGGGTCTAAGTTATGTTCATTTTTTACATCATGACATTTTCACTTTCTCTTTTTTTTTTTTTCCTTTTTTCCCAGAAAAGATCTCACTCTGTTTCCCAGGCTGGAGTGCAGGCATGATCACGGCCCATTGCAGCCTCCACCTTCCTGGGCTCAGGTGATCCTCCCACCTCAGCCTCTCTGGTAGCTTAGACCACAGGTGCACACCACCATGCCCAGGTAATTTTTGTATTTTTTCGTAGAGAGGGGGTTTTACCATATTGTCCAAGCTGATCTTGAACTCCCGGGCTCAAGTGATTTGCCCTCCTTGGCATCCCCAAAGTGTTGGGATTACAGGCATGAGCCACTGAGCCTGGGCAACATAGCAAGACCTCACCTTTACAAAAAAAGTGAAAACAATAAAATCAAATCTGAAAATGAGTGGCTCCATATAGGTGCCTGGGCTGATTCTCTTTATGAATTATTTGCTGGTCTTCAAGTTTTAAATAAAAGTCTGAAAGCTGTGTAATATCAAACCAAAACCACTTGCTGTAGAAAAGCTATATTAATTTTCCTATTTTAAGAGTCATACATGCTTATTGGAGAAAATTTGGGACATAGGAAAAATGAAGCTCTAACAGAGATTAAATTCTTTTAACATTTTGATATATTTCCTTCCAGTCTTTTCTTCCCTATACAATAAAGAAATTTTAAGCATACATTGTTAGTTAAAGAATAAAATTTTGACAATTAACTTTAATCACCTAAGCTATATTGTGGGCTTTTTTCCACGTTGTTACATATTCTTCAAAAATAAGTTCTGAAGAAGACTGCGTTATATGCTGTATGGGCCGTATTAGTTACTTTTCCCTACTGGATAATTTTCAGAACAGTTTACCAACCTTTATTACATGTTTAAATACATCTTTTTTTTTTTTTTTTTAAAAAGAGAAGCATGTTCTGCTTTAAAACTCTTGAAATTAACAATAATTTGAAAAGTGTTTTTACGAATGAATAGGTTTAATGGACTTTTGGATTCGTGTATTCTACTCAGAAGCGGTTGAAATAGGGATTTCATGGTTTGGAAGATAAATGGAAAGAAGTTAGGGCATCAGAGAAGGAAACGTGGCCTGCTTGTAAACCATTTCCTCATTCTGGAGCGGACTTCCGATAAATGTAGAATCTATCCATTAGCACAGCTCTGGCTCCTGTAGAAATGGGCTCTTTCCACTGAGGTGTGCTGTGGGAGAAATGTCCCTATAAGGAGGACTGAAATACTCGGAATACTGTTTATTCCTTTGTTACGCGGAGTCCTGAGAAAGCGCTTCAGGAGCTAGTTTCTCCCTCCAGGCTCAGGTGTGTACCACAAAGCAGACCTGTGGTAACTGACCGAGGTGGTGGCCATAGCCTGGACACGGCCAGGCTTAGGAACGGAGCAGTAATGATAGCAGCCGACAGAGCCAGGCGCTGCTAGGCTTCGGATGTGTTAGCTCATTAGTACCCCCAGCAACCCTGTGTGGTCGGTCCTGCTGCCGTCCTTACTGTATGCAAGATAAAGGGACAGGTGCACAGATTAAGTTGCTCAAACCAGAATTTCAACGTAGGCAGTCTGGCTTCAGGGTCAGTGCTCCCAATTCCTTGGCTCTACTGCCCCTCCAGAGCTAGAAGTTTCTCAGTCCAGGAGGGCCTAGAAAGTTCCAGATTAGGCCTGGCGCAGTGGCTCACGCCTGTAATCCCACCACTTTGGGAGGCCAAGGTGGGTGGATTACCTGAGGTCAGGAGTTCCAGAGCAGCCTGGCCAACATGGTGAAACCCCGTCTCAATACAAAAATTAACCAGGCTTGGTGGCACGTGCCTGTAGTCCCAGCTGAGGCAGGAGGGTCACTTGAACTGGGGAGGCAAAGGTTGCAGCGATCCAGTCTGGGAGACAGAGTGAGACTCCGTCTACTAAAAAAATTAAAGTAAGTTCCAGCCTATGCAGATGTCAGTAAGACAGGAAGGACAGAGCTGGGTCTGCTTCAGTGTCACTGCTCCTTGATTTCCCCCCATCTCATTTACATTCTGCCTTGAATTATCTCTTTATACCACTAGAGTGCTGAAAGAGACCACAGATTTTGATTCGGCTTGGCTCAGAGAGTGATAAGATCACTTGCTATGTAGCTGTGACTTTCTAGAGAATTAAAAAATAAAAGGCTTTACCTGCCCTAGACGTTGGTCTTGTAAGGCTGGAGAACAATTCAGATATGTGATTAATGCATCCAGTTTGCTGGGGAAAGAGAGCACATTCCAGCTGGGAACGGGACCCAGGCTCAGCAGATGGTGGAGCAGCGCTCACTAATGTAGGAGACTGGCCTCACTGTGCACATAGGTTTGCTTTCTGCTGTGTATCTTGGGGTACTTTTGATCAGAAACAGACCTTCCCAGTGTATTCTAGATGATATTCAGCACTTTCAATAGACAAGAGAATAAAATTGTGACTTTTCAGGGTTCGAAGGCACAGTAGCGTTGCCTAGTAGTTATGGGTCTCTTTTTCCCAGTGGGATTTTAGGCAGAATGCTGAGAGATGAAATGCATAAAAGCAGGACTGCAGTGGTTGAAGGGCTTCCTCTGTCTCCCTTGCCACCTCTGAGGGACTTCAGAGCAACACTGAAATAAGCCTTACTCATTCGTTGCACCTGTGCAGTGATTGCAGGGCAGGGAGAGGGGTGACTTGGCCAAGGTGACACAGCCTGGCTGCCCCTCTGGCCATGGCACACATGTGGACTTTGTTTCTGGGCCCTGTGCCTGTTCAGAGAGTGGCCAGACCTCTGTGTCACCCTTGATTTCTGCCTAGAAGTCCATTCGGTCAGCAGTTCTGCTTATTCCTACTCTGTGCAGTATTGCCCAACGCACACGCATTTCCTCCTTGCCTTCTCAGTATTGCCATTCTGATCCAGAATGGTCACCTGCAATTTAAACAGTGAAGGCCCTTGTTAGGAAGTGGGGGAGGGTGCAGAGGGGGAGGGTTGCTTTTTCTAAAGCATGGCTCTGATCAAATCCGTCCTGAGCAGAGGCCTTCCAGGCTCCCCTCCGTAAGGCCCCAGGTCTTTATTCACCTTGCCTCTCTGATGCTTCTGCAGCTTGGTTCCTACCTGCTGTCTCTACACCTCCCTAAACCACCGTATGCTGAGGCTTCACATACAGCGAGCTCTGGTGGCACAGGGTTAATGGGTCTGTATACCCAAGAAATTGAACATGGGTGCTGTCAACCGCCCGACTGACTTCCGGTGTCCTGGTCTGATGGTATCCTTGATCTTACAACTAAGATCACGACATTGAAAATCTCTTGACCCAAGCCTGTGCTTTTGTTGGGATAAAGTTTGTGTTGAGTACATCTAGGCCAGGTGTGGTAGCTCACATCATTGCAGCTCTTTGGGAGGCCGAGGTGGGTGGCTTACCTGAGGTCAGGACTTCGAGACCAGCCTGGCCAACATGGTGAAACCCTGACTCCACTAAAAGTATAGAACTTAGCTGGCTGTGCTGGTGCACGCCTGTAATCACAGCTACTCAGGAGGCTGAGGCAGGAGAATCACCTGAGCCCCGGAGGCAGAGGTTGTAGTGAGCTGAGATGGCACCACTGCACTCCAGCCTGGGGTATAGAGTGAGAATCTGTCTCCAAAAAAAATGTACATCTAAATGGTACAATGCCCAACTCGGCCTATTTGGAGTGCCATTGTCCCACAGAGCCCTGCTCCTCAGAGGCACTTTTCCCAGAGTGACTTTCCCCTTCCTCAGCTACGCTGTCATTCAGTTGGAATGCATCAGCGACCATACTGGTGGTTAAAACGTCGAAATGCTCCCATCCTAGGTAGAGAATAGCTGCTACCCCAGGTGCCCCACCCTTAATTCAGAAACTAACGGGTTAGTACCTGGGGCAGCAGAGGAACTTCTGAGCCCCGTTCTGGTGCACTGGCCTGTGTCTTTTCTGACTGGTTGGTGCCTGGCCGTACAGGCTGTTAAATATTTTGACGAGCATCCCAGCCTCTGTCCGGCATGCAGCTTTTTATGAGCGCATATCTGGCTTTCTCAGATAGGCACGGCAGCCACACTCTAAGCTCTGGGCACCGGGGAGACCTAGTCATTGTCATTTCTGTATTTTTAGCAGCATTTAACACAGGGCCTTATAGCTATTAAGCAGGTAAGGTTATCTGATGATGGATTGAGGGTAGGGCAGGTTCCAATGGTCAGATGTCCCATAGAAGGTGGTCCCTGATGAGAATATACGTTGTCATGTTTTACTATTCCAGGTTTGTCTATTGTGATACTGTGCAAAACTTAGATTTTTTTTTTTTTTTTTGAGACAGTTTTGCTCTTGTTGCCCAAGCTGGAGTGCAATGGTGTGATCTTGGCTCACTGCAACCTCTGCCTCCCAGGTTCAAGCGATTATCCTGCCTCAGTCTCCCAAGTAGCTGGGATTACAGACATATGCCACCACACCTGGCTAGTTTTATATTTTTAGTAGAGACAGGGTTTCTTCATGTTGGTCGGGCTGGTCTTGAACTCCCAACCTCCAGTGATCCACCTGCTTCGGCCTCCCAAAGTGCTGGGATTACAAGCGTGAGCCACCGCACCTGGCCAAAATTTAGATCTTATAGCTAAGATCAAGGCATTGAAAGTATCTAGACCTAAGCCTGTGCTTTCACTCGGGTGAAAGTTTAAGTTTAGGAGGACTTCTGAGGCGTTTCTTTCCGTGTAGTTTCAGTTGTGTTGGAGAAGCAGGTGGCTGTGGTCTTTGCAGGGTGTGGGAGGGGAGGAGATTAGTGTTGAGCCCCAGCTAATCTTACATAACTGTACTGTAGTCTTAGTTTACCTGGTATTCCTGTGTTCACATTGCCCCTTGTTTCTGTGCCACTAGTGAAATGGTCAATTACCTCCATTGTGCCTCAGGCAAGCTTCTGAGGCATCCCAGGATGGGGAGCTGGCGGGGTCCTTGTCTGTCAAGCAGCCCAGCCAGGCCCCTCACAGTGGACGGAACTGAGTTCTTGAGAGCGTGGCTTAGCAGCCCAGAGTCCCAGGATGGACTCTGAAGACAGAGCCAGTCTGTGCTTTTCTCTCCTGACATGAGTCAGAGTCAAACTCCAGTTCAGGCAGGGCAAAGATCCTTGTCCCTGGGGTGAAAGCTGAAGCTGCAGGGTGTCCAGGACAGACCTTCAGAGGAGGCCAGCCATGGAGCCTGGCACGGGCCTTGGCCTCGAGTCTCCGTCCTCCTGAAAGGCCAGCTCAGTCTACCCGGCCTCTCACGCAGGCCAGGTGATGGTCACCAGCAGCGTCCTCCCCATTCTGGCATGCTTCTCTCCGTCACTGCTTCACTCCCTTCTTGATGTGACAGTCCCTTTTTGCAGGCTTTGTCAGGCACTGTCCCTCTGCCTCCCAGGCGTGGCATGCGTCTCAGGGTGCTTCCATTAGCAGTTTCATTCATTGTCCATGGCGGGGAGCAGATGGAGATGCTGGCCAGGTTAGCCACCAGAGAGGCTGCAGGGCTGCTCAGGAGATTGAAGGACTCTCCAGAGTGGGGTGTCTGCCCATAGCGCGTGGCTGGAACATCTATTAGAGTTTAGAATAGAACAGAAACATTATAATTTCTGTGGATAGTTACTTCTCTGGCCATCTTTTAAATTCGTATTTGTGTGTTTTCTAATGTTCAGAAAATATTTGCAGAATGTGTATGTATAGTTTATGGATAAAAGCATTTACATGTGAGAGGTGCGTTTATTTGTTACTGACTGGGGTACGTCATCCAGAGTTTAGAGAGCCAGAGAAGGCGGTCTTCTCTAGCACCAGTATTGTAGAGACCTCTGAATGCCATTTTTTAAAAAGGAGAGAACTCAGTTTGTCCTTAAAAGGGAATAGAGACCGGGTGCAGTGGCTCACACACCACTGTAATCACAGCTCTTTGGGAGGCTGAGGTGGGAGGATCACGAGTTCAGGAGTTCAAGACCAGACTGGCCAAGATGGTGAAACCCCATCTCTACTAAAAATACAAAAATTAGCCGGGCATGGTGGTGGCTGCCTGTAATCCCTGCTACTCAGGAGTTGAAGCAGAGAATTGCTTGAACCCACGAGGTGGAGGTTGCAGTGAGCCGAGATTGCACCACTGCTCTCCAGCCTGGAAAACAGAACGAGAATGTCTCCCACCCCCGACCCAAAAAAAACTGGGGAATAGAAACAGCTCTCTGGCTAGGTTGTGATTCATCTTAAATATACCTGTGACTTCAGGAGAGTCAGGTTACTCCACAATATGTTTTGTCTTTGGTCCCCAAACTTAGCAACGTGGAAGCCTCTTTGGGATGGCCTTTTATTTTTTCTCTTTTGTTTGCTCTTATGTCCCCTGAGGCTGAGCTGTCTTACGCATTCTGAATATTTGCAGATTGAATACATTGGCCTGTTTCTTGCATGACAAATACTATGCTGAGTTGGATGCCTTAAGTCAATATTCAGGTTGACTCCTTTTGTTGGAATCTTTGGGTGGTTGGCAAGATGCAGCCTGTGTGCCGGTCAGTTTTACTGTCCTGCACATGATATCCCCACACCGTAGAGCCGTAGAGCCCTGGAGGCCTCCGAAATGTCACCTGAGAGACAGGGTGTTGGGATGTACCTTCAAGTCATTTTTTAAAAAGTGGATATAATGAAGCAGTATTAGCAAAATGTTGATCATTATTGAAGCTGGAGTCGTGGGTACATAAAATATAGTTTTGTTATACTACGATGTCTACTTTTGAGTAGATCTGAATTTTCCTGATAAATTTTAAGTGAAACGTAAAGGGAATACAGAGACCTCAAAGTAGTCTCACCTATTCCACGCAGGTAATGGCTGAACTGGCCAGGCTCTTTTTCTTTGTCTTTTAAACACTGGTCACTGTTCTCTAATCTTCTGCAGCTTGTTAGCTTGGTTTTGATTTGGGCTTCCCCAGGGCCAGTCACCTCCTTATATAGTTACCTGAGCTCTCTGTGTAACTTTAGCTCATGTCTCGTGGTTGTCACCAGGACCTCTCTTCTTCCCCATATTATGAGCTAAATCCTGGTGAAACTTTTCTCTATTTCACTTGTCGCCCCTCCAACACCACCGAGGTCTTCCAGGTAACAGGCACAATTTAGAGGTCAGAACGGGGTCCCATGTGTTTTGCAGGCTGTGCCCAGTCCTCGGGAACCTCACAGCCTATAATTATCTTGTAGATTCCATTCATCTCTCCTTGTTGTTTTCTTTTCTTTTCTTTTTTTTTTTTTTTTTTGTGAGACGAGTCTTGCTCTGTTACCCAGGCTGGAATACAGTGGTGCAATCTTGGCTCACTGCAACCTCCGCCTCCCAGGTTCAAGTGACTCTTCTGCCTCAGCCTCCCAGTAGCTGGGACTACAGGTGTGTACCTTAACGCCTGGCTAATTTTTGTATTTTTAGAAGAGATGGGGTTTCGCCATGTTGGCCAGGCTGGTCTCGAACTCCTGACCTCAGATGATCCACTCCACTCAGCCTCCCAAAGTGTTGGGATTACAGTCGTGAGCCACCACACCCGGCCTCATCTCTGATTTTTAAATTAATAGTAGGTACCTGTTGAAATATGTAAAAACTCAACTCAGAATTGGATTTCTCTAAACTTGTGAGAGGCTGGTCTTCCTCTCCCTGGGCAGAGAGGTCTTTGTGTTCTGTCTTCTCACCCATGTCCTGCTACGCCATTTCTCTGGTTATCAGTCTCTCTGAAACCTTGATCTATTTTAAGAGGTGTAAGTAACTCTATCTAACCTGCGCCCTCTTTAGCCCTCTTATCCAGGTCACTGATATGTGATCGCTGTGACCTCTGCGAGCTGTGGGGTGGTATGGACTCCTTGAAGACAAGGACTGGGTCTTGTTCTTCCCGGTCTCTCACCCCAGGCCTGGGTCCTGGCGGGGACAGGAGGGCTCTGTGAACTAAACACCAGCTGGGCGAGGGCGAGCCTCCTGCAGCCAGCTGTTTCTTACTCAGCTTGTTGACAAGAATGCTGTCATGGGAGAGAGAGGCAGAGGCTCCTGGCCATCGCTTTACAACGCTGCTGTGAGTCCCCAGCCCACCTGCTGCCCCTGCAGGGCCTCCTCCCTGCCTCTGTGCTGCAGCACTGTCTGGCTCCTACTGGTGTGTCTCCTGCCCCTCCTGTCTCTGCCTGTTCAGACCTGGCCTGGTTCCACCCTCAGCTCTCTGGACAGCCCTCGCTTTGATCCCGGTGCATACGTACTGTTCTCTCCTCCTCTAGATTCCTGCAGCACCGGGCCCCTAGCGCTTATTTCTGCCGCGGTATCAGATCTGTCTTCTTTAGGTCTGTTAACTCTTGCAGGTGTGTTTGTCTTCAGTGATATCCTAAACTTGCTGGAAGCAAAGAAAACATTGTAAGTGCTTTATCCTCAGGCTTTCTGTTTGCCTGGGACTAGAGTTCTTCATCCTCCTGTGATGTTCAGAGTGTTGCTTCTTTTTTTGTATTGTGACCCCTTTTTCAAAGAAGCACTTAAGTGGGAGTGGTTCACATAGCAGGTCGGTGGCTCACATAGCAGAGCCAGGTCCCTTGCAAGCTTAGATACGTATTTTCCAGGAGGGCTTTATTGTGCATAACCCCCCATATAGGCACCGAGGAATGAGAGCTAAGCAGAACCCTGGCACAGTTGGGGCTTGAGGAATATCTCACTTTATAGTGTTACCCCTCAGCTATTTCCTTTTATATAATCCTTTATATAATCATATATTAGTTTATAGAATTAGGGCTTGATGAATCCCTTTATATAATCTTCTATATATAATCATATAATAGTTGATAGTATGAGTGCCTAAAGAATATTTCCCTAAATATATATCTATAATCATATCTTGGTTCATTCGGAAGAATGCCTAGAGTGGACACTGTGCAGAGCATGATTTAAGGAATAAGCAGCTTATAATCAGAGGAATCCCCTAGAGCAGACACCGTGCAGAGCATGATTTAAGGGAAAAACAGTTATGCCAGGACAAGAATCCATGGCCCAGGCAGCAGCATTCAGTATCGTAAAGATACCCGCTGTATGGCAGGCTTGGGGCGAGGGCCACTCCTATAAGGGAGTTGTAGGACCTTGCTCCAGTTCTTGTGGAAGGCTGCCCTCAGAACGGCAATCCACCTTGGTGACTGTGAACCTTATCAGCTCTTGCTACTGTGCTGCTTGAAAAGCATCTTCCCATAGAACCCATTGGAAGCTGCCAGAAGGTAACAGTAACCCTGACAGCTCTGTCACTGCTATGTGACTTAAAGCATCCTCCTATAAATCTTCTTAGAAGTAGTTTGACCATAGATAGAAGTATTGTACACTGCGCACGGCCCACCTTCAAACCTCGGTGACCTAATGGGGGTGAACCCCTTACTGCACACGGCCCTTGCCTTCATGGGAATGGGCGCCTTGCTGTGCACTGTCCACCTCCTGGCCTAGGTGACCTAATGGGGATGGACTTCATGTTTTATTGCTCACGACCCTATCACTATCCTTAAAGGTGATTTCACTCACTGCCCTGCCCCCTAATCTATACACAATAAATACTCATGCTTCTGGACATTTGGGGCCTCGCCTGACTCCGCTCATAGGTGGCGTGGCCCCCCGAGCCCAGCTGCGTTTTCCTTGTACTTCTGTGTCCTGTCTCTTTATTTCTTGGATCCTGCGCCTCAGCACAGCATAAGGCTCACCCCACGACCCTGTGGGGCCATCAGCCCTACATCTGGCTCCCAACATGCCCTACAGTTTATATCCTATCTGTCATTCTGTTCTCAGGACAGGTTACTACCCTAGATCTTTGTGGAGCAGGTGGGAAATACATAAATACAAGAAGGCGTGAACTGACCTGACTCAGCTATAGCTTCTTTATCGTGAGGAACTCTAAAAAATACAGCTAGGCCGGGCACGGTGGCTCACCCCTGTGATCCCAGCACTTTGGGAGGCCGAGGTGGATGGATCACAAGGTCAAGAGATCGAGACCATCCTGGCCAACATGGTGAAACCCCGTCTCTACTAAAAATGCAAAAAAATTAGCTGGACATGGTGGCGCACACCTGTAGTCCCAGCTACTGGGAAGGCTGAGGCAAACCCCAGGATCGCCTGCCCATCTTTTCTCTTCTCTTACATAGTCTTGGAGAAGCCACCATGCTATTCACGATGGAAGGAGGCATAGCTTTCCTGTTCCCTCGCTCTTCTTTATTCTCCCCTGAAGCCCACATCAGGAGAGGAGCTGGCTCAAACTTTGCAGCTCATCTGAGGCATAGCCAGTACCTAGAATGTGATCTTTTTGCATCTGGTCCAGGATTCTTTCCATGTTCACATTCTGTTTATATCCATAGTCACACAGGAAGATGGGAAGATCCTGACTTTGAGCAAAGCACCTGAGAGGACCCCAGGATCTAGGTACCTCCTCTGCATGCAGTTTCTCAACCAGATGGACCTTCCTCTCCATCCCTGGCCCTTGTGGGAGGAGAGTGCCTTCCTAGCTTGGGGCCAGCTCTGGCTGTTGTGAAAGGACATGTGCTCCTCTCTACTGTTAAGTTGTCCTCCCTTATGGTGCAGGCCCTTG